TCTGGCCTACGTGTGACTCCAGACCCACAGCAATGTGCTTGACACTTAACTGCCCTCTGGGCTATTAGGGAGGGGCAATGAATGCTGCCTAGCCAGTGATGCCCTCATCCAGTGAATGAATAAAGGAAAAAAAAAATGCCACAACTGTTTTTCAACAAAAGCATTCAGATTTAAAGCTAGGAATATTTGTGCCTTTGAAGCCTCTTTGCTCCATGGCTTTGGCAAGGACTTTTATTGTCTGGTGTTTGTCTCTGTATTGGCTAATGTGGTGCATCCTTTGTGATTTTTCCATTCACAAACTAATAGGTTCTGTGCCAAATTTTATAACCTCCTCTTAGAGTTGTTCCCACAACTTTGCTTCACTCACCATCTAAATGACATTGGACTGTAATAAATCTGTCAAAAGCTCATCACTAGTGCCTCCAATATTCTGGTCTCTTGTAAATTCTGACCTTCTTACCATAGTTACATCTCTCCTCTAGATAAAGAAATCATCAATGAAATTAAACATTAATTCATCTGGTTGTTGCGCTCTTTCATTAAATCACTCCCATTGAAGAATTCTGTTGGTTCTGAAGTTGAAATAATTGTCTAAATTGCTTTCCCTAGTTACCAAATTTGTACGAGCTCTGAAGAGGTGTCACTAGACTCCAAATTTAGCTCCGCTTTATCTCCATAGATGCTGCCAGACCTGCTGAGTTTTTCCAGCACTTTTTACATTTGTTTCTGATTTCCAGCATTTGCAGTTCTCTAGTTTTTTTTTGAATGACCAAGTTTGTGCTCTATTTGGTCCTTTTCTGAAATTAAATCTTCCTGGCAACACTACTTCTGATGTTTCCTAATGTGATTAAGTATTTTATCTTTTTGGAAGATTTTTATTCTGCATCAAAAGCAGTTCTCCCATGCTTTGCTGCTGTACTGAAGGTTCTCTTGTGCTTTGTGACTGCAATGAAAGTTTTCCCAAATTTCACAAATTTTGCAGTGGCTGTAATGGAGGTCCTGTCTGCTGAAAAAAAGTGTTTTTCCAGTATAATGTACTTCTTTAAATTGATGAGTGTTTATTAGCTTAAAATGGCTCGGTTAACAATTTCCTCAGCCCCTTGCTCCAGGAATAAGCAAGGTACTCTCATGACCCTGTAAGTTTTGTTTAACCAGTCATGGCTTGTGCTATGTGCACATAGTAAAGCCCGATTGGAGCCACAAACACTTTGTAAATTACTGTCCTTGCTGCGTTGTTTAAGGTTTCTTCTTTTGTAGGAGGTATATTTTGTTTTAATTCACAGAATCCTCAATAAATGTCGGCTCACCGGCTCACCTCAGACACAGAACCACTTTCATAGATCACTGCCATGTGTTGTAGCCTTTTCCTCTGCCTTGGACCTGCGGACTTCTGCTCCTGTATGTCTTCTGACGGATCTGAATTACTTTCTATGTAAACCTCAAGATTTTTCTCTGTTGAGTGTTGTGGGGTTCACTGTCATTAGCTATCAGCAGTATCAGTTTGCTTTGAAGTTCTCTGAGAAATAAATCCGTGAAGGCCAGTCACCAAGTCACCCTTTACTTACACATGCATAGTACCTGACACTGGTCCAGCTTGCTTAGAGCCGGGTCCTAGGATTAGCAGATCCCCTGATATTCCTGGTTATATCTGTCAGCCAGGAATCCCTGATTGGACCAAAATAACAGCTCCAATGAGGGAAATCATATTCTATGAGGTCTACCTGGCTGACCTCATTCCAATCACTACACTCAGAATCACCAACATTTTTTTTCCTGATTTTTCTAAAGGCTGACCCCTCTTAGTTGGCACAATTTTGAAATAGTGCTGGTCACCATTGCTCACCACATTGTGACAGCCAAACCAACTCTTCAGAACCCATCACTGATCGCCATGTAGTGTGTATGGGTTCTTTTGATCCTAATGTGACGTGGTAAGAATGAGCTTATCCACTTTTCCGGTCTGACTAGAAGAGATCTTTTGAGTAAACAAAAGGAATTTTATTGCATTAGTGCAGCTATTTGCAGGGAACATATATTACTACAAAGACTGTCAGGAGCATATTAACTTCAGGTTTGTCTGCTAGAAGCTCTTTCTTACTCTGACCAAGTGGTCTCAGTAGGTGCTGTTTATTGCACTCAATTAAGAACTAACCTTTTCAGATCTATACACAACTATTATCAACCCACTGGATCACATCATGTACACTCCTTCCATAACTGTAAATATTGCTGGAGTGGAACTCAAACCCATATCTGCTGGCTCAGAATCAGGAGCATTAATTAAAGAGCTGAAGACCTCATTGGTTTCACTAGGTGGTCCTTTTAAGACTGCTCCACAGTTCTGCATGTCGACAATGTAATGGGCAAATTGACTGTACATGGCTGGTTGTTGGCTGAATGATATTTTCCAAAATGCTATGGCTAAACACATGCAAATCTTAAGAGTAACATTGCTAGCAGGTACTTTTACTTAAATAGATAATAATGTAAAGGTTATTATAAGGATGCCTCAGGATGCTTTATTACCTGACACAGCACATGAAGGGAAGTCTTGGGATGTTTTATTACACTAAAGGAGCTATATAAAAGAATGGCTGAGTTGGCAAGATACAATTGACTGATAATGACACACGCCTGAAGTCAGTAGCCATTGGCTCTGGTAGCAGATTAAAAACCCTGGGATTAAGATTTTAAAAAAGTGCTCTGTTATAAAATTAATGCTTATCTGGAATGAAATAGTTAATCTGAAGTTTAACCACAACTTAACTTGGTACCTCAATCTGTTAATTATTAACCATTTGATAATACCATGTAATGGGTTTCTGAAAGAAATGCATTTTAGACAATTAAACTATGCAACGGCAGACTAATTCAAACGCATCAAATTTTGACAAGTCTTTTAAATGAACAAATTGTTATGTAACTTCATATTGTAATGGTAATTTAATTCAACAGGATTTTAAATGTCTGCCTTACTTGACTACAAATAGCCTTCCTGCTCCTACTTGATATTCCAACACAGGGATGACACTAAGGTTTTGTATTGTGGAGAGAAACAGAGTTAACTTGTCGGGTTGATGACTTTTTATTAGATGTTCTGATGAAAGATCTTTGATCCAAACTGTAAACTCGATATCTCTTCACAGCTACTGCCTGACTAACTGAGCGTTTCTAGCTTTTGCTGTTCTTATGTCAGATTTCCAGCATCTGCAGTATTTTATTTTTGTGGTGATGCTGCACTGTAATCTCACTAAAACTGGTGAAATCTGAATTCTGCTATTGGCATTTACTCTCTGACCCGTTATTGGGGAGGGAGGAAAAGATTGATTCCTCAAACCATTGAAAGCACTTCAAGGCATCCAACCAGAACTTAATCAGTTAAATACAAAATGTCAAGTTGCCATAGTCCTACTGGACTATATGACCTCTCTCTCATTAGAGAGAGGTGACTGCTGGTGATTAAGCTGAGGGTCACAACACCTCAGGTGAGGGGAGAGATTGGGAAGGATTTCATCAGTTACAGTAAATAAAACGTCAGAGATCTTTACAGTCCTTGATGTCCACAGTTTAAACTAAAGCTTCCTGAACTGAGGGGGCCAAAAACTCCAAGGGAACAATGGCTGCTGTGTAGCTCAGACAGGTTACTGTCAAGTGCTCACATTTTATCTTCTGGAGGGTGTGGCTTAATCAACAGTTCACGGTGACCTGACCTATTGCATTAATAGTTAGGTGTCCATTCTGCCTACCTTTTCATCAGGTGCCCCACAATGGTGATGGGAGAAGGGTGAAGGTGGGGGTGAAGGATGGAGGGGATGGGGTGGGTGGGGTTCACACTCACTTCCTTGAAGCCCTGCTGCCCCCATCACAACCTCCTCAACAATTGAAGGTTCCTCCTTCACAGCCCTACCACCAAGAATGGTACCACGCATAGGTTATGTGACAAGCTTAATGTTCAGAAGCGTTTTTTGTTCAATTCACTCGTGAGACGTGAGCGTTGCTGGCTGGCCAGCATCTATTGCCTTCTTGAACCGTGGATGTCCGTGTGCTGTAGGTAGACACATAATGCTCTTAGGAAGAGAATTCCAGGTTTTGACCCAGAATCATGTCAGTACAGCCGATATATTTCCAAGTCAGGATGGTGAGTGGCTTGGAGGGGGACTTGCAAGTGGTAATGTTCCAATGTACTTGCTGCCTTTGTCCTTCTAGATGGAAGTGGCTGTGGGTTTAGAAGGTGCTGTCTAAGGATCTTTGATGAAGTTTTATCTTGCAGATAGTACACACCGTTGCTATTGAGCATCGTTGGTGGAGGGTGTGGATACTTGTAGATGTGGTGCCAATCAAGTGGGCTGCTTTTTCCTGGATGGTGTCAAGCTTCTTCAGTATTGTTGGAACTACATCCATCGAAGGCAATTGGGAGTATTCCACCACACCTCTGACTTGTGCCTTGTAGATGATGTTGGGGAGTCAGGAGGTGAGTTTCCCCTTACAGCAAATCAAACTATTGTGGGTGGGTGGGGGGAAGTTAATGAAGGTAATAAAAATTATGGAGGACTTATACAAGTTGTTTGCACTGGCAGGAGAGTCAGTAATCACAGAACAAAGTAAGTGGGAAAAAGAAACAGCAGAAAGATATGCTAAAATTTTTGTTCTTCTGAGTTTTTATCACCTCAAATACATTGCCTCAGTGGGGAAGTGGAAATAGATTCAAAAGTAACTTTTGAGAGGGAATTTGATATATATTTGGATGGCTGTAGGGCCAAACAACATCAGGAGAGTAAAATAACTGGTAGATAATTCACAGAATTGGCACAATCACAATATGTGACAGTGCCCCACACTTTGGCAAAAGGTTCTTTAATGAAGTTGAAAGGGAAGGAAAACAAGACACAGGTTTCAGCAGTGACAAATACAGGGGGGTTAATGAAGCGGAATCTGAAGTGCTGAATCATGAATAATTTAATCACACTGGATGCTGGATTCTGTTAGTTCCATTTACTTACTCTTTAACTTGGAGCGAACTTTATTTGCTGTCTTCTTAATATCTGTCATCAGTTCTTCCAATTCCTCCTTTGTTTCTGTAAAGGAAGAGAATATTAACCATGAGTGCATAACAATGCTGGACAATACAGTGAGTCCTTATTAATTCAAATCTTCCAAAGCATAGACTTAACAGGAAGAATGATGAATTGCTAGAATGGAAAGAAGCCAATTCATCTCTTTGATGTTCCTTCAAACACAGTTGAGTATAATCTTTATATGTGAATTAGCAAATTGTCCTTTCCTAACAGATAGCATAAAGACCACAGTCAAAAATTGGAGTGATGGAGGTAGCTCAATAAAAGTCACTAATCATAGCATCGGCCAACCCAAACATAAATACCACAACCCAGATATTTAAAAGAAATTTGCCAGTTCAGACCACAATTTAATCTCAAGATGTCAACAGATTCTAGCCTGTATTTGATTCAGATATCTTAAGCTGTATTGGGCTCTGGTACATTAACAGTTGAAGTATTGTTTCCAGTTTTGTCCCCCTTAGAAAGTGACGGAAATCAAAGTGTTAGAGAAGTGTCAACACCAATTAACACCAAATCCTGCATGAATGAGGATTCAGGTACAGGGCAGGGAGTCTTGTTGGAGCTGCACTATTGATGGACAATGGAATATGAAGAATAAAAAAGAAGAAACGGAAGGAATCACCTCAATCTTAGTGAAGTCCATACTCTCTGTGCACTCATTGGAGGCAAGGGTCAAGCAACCAGTAATTAGTAATGGAAGAAAAAGAAGCCGTGGGCTCTTGATGTTTACTTGATTGCCAAAAGGAAGAGGTTCCCAAACTGCAGATCATGACCCTCATTTGTGCTGCAGGCCAATCAACTGGGGTCATGAGCTCCAAGGCAGCATTGGTGAATAGTGGGCAGAGTGTTTTGGCATGCAAACTCTTTTTGTTCCAACTAGTTCAATAAGTGAACAGTTTTCCATTGTCCAGAAAAACCATTCTTTCAGTGGCACTCCAGTTCTGTGCTCTGATTGGCTAACTGGAAAATTCCATGGATGTGCTGATAATGGAAGAGGTATTCTGATTGCAAACTGTGGCAAATAGGGTGTAATTCCTGTGCTATCGAGGCTTGAGAACCACGTGCATACGTCATTGTTAACTCCAAGGCTCTATCAGAGCTTTCAAAAGAGTTGTAGGCTAAGTCATTGGCATCTATCCCCTGTATCCAATCTCCATTGTCTGCTCAAACACTTTCATCCACCAAACACCAGAACTCCCCTCACCCTGACCCTTCCACCACATGCCCCAATCTGAATGGGGCTGCACTATATTTCAAACATTAAAATGGGGTCACAAAAAGGTTAGGAAGCATTGTTTCTGAGTGTCAAAGCAATTTTTCTGAATTGACCACAGGATTTTTGTCTCTCCCAAGAGTTGGTACCAGTGGAAGAGTGTATTGTGTGCCAAGGTTACCTTGTCAACGTTATGAGATGGCATAACGACCCAAATGGTCATTTCTCACTCAACCCGCAACTTGCTCCTGGACATCTGTTATTTGATATATGAGCTAGCTGTCTTCCTTGCCTAGATTTTAGCCAGTAATATACTGCTGAATATGGCTTAAATTTTTATATCAACTACCTGAATCCCTTTAACTTTCACTAAAATCCATGCTGAAATGGACCTGGGAGTGTTTGATGTTGAGACTGGGTGTGAAACTTGCCTCTCTGGTGCATATTTCATTTAGGTCAGCACAAGCATTTAAGTTCAACAGACAATTGGGTGGCTTAATCAATATGAGAGTGGAATGGAAAGAATGAAGAAAGTGATGATTAGAGCAATAAATTGGTGAGACAGACAATGGGTCGATAGATTGATTTACAAGCACTCAGTTGAAGATTGTATTGTACTAGTGAAACCTGCACTTGCAGCAGGGAATGCGATAAATCTGCTCTTTCCTAGATCCGAGCAACCAGTTTCAGTCCCTGACTCTGTTCCATACCAACCTCCTCTTATTTTCAGATTTCAGCATTCTCTCTTCCCTCCCATCCCCCAGCCCTGAGTGCCTGCATTCAAACTTTACTTCTTTCCTGCTGCAGAAATTGTTAAAACAGATCAAGTCATGACAGATTCACCAAGAATGCCCGATAAAACAAAGGGATTGAGTTACAGAAGCTTATTTTGTGTGTACTCGGATAGTAGTTTAATAAACATATGTCAACATGGATTCTGAATGACCATTAATACTTACATAGTGCCTTTAACATAGTAGATCATTCCAAGATGCTTTAAAGTAGAATTATAAACAAAGGTTGTTATCCAGTCAGGTAAAGTGAAATTAGGACAGGTAGTGAAAAAATGCTGTAAGGATCACTGTAAAAGAGGGAAGAGAGGCAGAGACATTTATGGAGGGATTTCCAGAGCTTAGAATTAGGCAGCTGAAAACACAGCTACCAAAGGGTGGAACAACTAAAACTGAGGGTGTGCAATTCACAAAAATTACAGGTGCACGGAGTTTTTTGAAGGGTTGTGGGGCTGAGGACGATTAGAGAGGTTGAAAGGGAGTTGAGGCTTTAGAGGGATTGGAAAATAAGGATGAGAATTCTAAAATTCAGGTCTTTGCTCAACCAGAAGCCAGTGTAGATCAGTAAACAATGACAAAATGATAGGTGTAAGAAAGAACAGACACAACTGTATTTTGGATGGCTTCAACTGTACAGAGGAAGGATGGGAAATTAATGTATATCTCAAGGTAACAAAGGCACAATTAAGGCAGCAGATATGCTGAGATAGTGGTGGGGACAGGCGATATTATGCAGGCCCATTTAGGCAGCCTTAATGGTAGCATAAGTATTTGGTTAGAAGTTCCACTGGGGTTGCATGGGCAAATAGGAGATCAAGGTTGTGAACTGTCTGGAGTGGCTCGGGATTGGAGTTTGTAGTGAAAGACAATGGTTTCAGCCTTCCTAATCTTTAATCAGTACAAATTTCTGCTTATCTAGTACTGCTATCAGAGAAACAGTTTGATAATTCACAATAGTGGAGAAGTTGGTAGAGATGATGGTGACTTAAAGCAGGATATCACGGCATATGTGAGAAAACTAACACTGTATTTTTGTATGATGCTACTGAACGACAGCATAAAGATGAGAAGCAGAAGTAAGCCAAGGATATATCCTTGGGGTAACAGCAGAGATAATGGTGTAGCATGGTAAGAGAAACCATTTAGGAAATACTTGAACTATGATTAGACAGATAAGGAATGGAGCTGAGTGCAGTCCCACCTAACTGGATGACAAAGATACGATCAACCATGGCAAAGGCTGAGAACAGATTGTGAATGACAATGCCTTTGTCACCGTCATGTAGGATGTAATTAGTAATTTTGATATGAACTATTCCTGATCTGATTGGCTTCGTACATGCCATTTTGGGAAAAAATGATATTGAGAGGCAAAGACGCATTCAAGGGCTTTGAAAGGGAAAGAGATTTTGGAGATAGAATCAAGAGTTGGTTATTTACAGAGATGGCAGACATTGGAAAACATGGAGGAGAGATGGACAGTATGTGAAGAAAATGAACAATTAACAGTATTATTAGCCAATCTGGGGACCAGGAAGAGTAGAAGCAAAGACAGAAGTTGCTGGAGAAATACAGCAAGTCTGGCAGCATCTGTGGAGAGAGAAAAAGAGGCAACATTTCAAATCCAGCGACCCTTCTTCAGAACAAAAGGGATTGCTGGGTGGCCACCAATTTAGTGGCCACAGGGTGTAGGGAGGAAGAAATGGATCTCAGGGATAAAATTAACCAGTGGAAGTGAGGGATAATGCAGAGGAATGTTATTGGATGGTCTTATTCTTATTGACAAAGAAGTGCATAGAGCTCCAAGCACTTTTTGTTAGAGATGAGAAGGAAGTTGACTTGGGAGAACAGTTTAAGATGAAAGGGGAAAAGATCCTATTCAACTAATTCTCTCAACTTATTTTTGAGGAAGCAACATCAAGGCAGCTACTTTATCCTAGATCTTCAGAAAATAATTATTGAGACCCTGCATGAAAAGGTGCTCCTGGGGTAGGTGAAGGGATACAGCATTGGACAGACATAACCTAAAGGGGATTTCATATAATTAAACAAGACAGCCCTCATTATAGAAAAGTTACAGTTATAAAATTATTTCAAATTTAACCAACACCAATGCAGCTACACCCAGAAAAGGTTCAGGTTTGAACTGCTAAATGACAAATAAACATTTGCACGACACAAATGCTAGACAATGTCCATTTTCAATCAGAGTAGATCTAACCATTGAATCTTGAATCTCCCTCAAACTGCCTTCACAGAATCCCCCACCATCAACATCCTGGAGGTTACCATTGATCAAAAACAGAATTGGACAAGCCATATGTATCTACAAAAGCTGGACAGAGGCTAGGAGTTCTGCAGTGAGTACTTGGCTTTTGACTTCCTAAAGCCTGTCCACCATCTACAAGGCACAGGTCAAGAAAATGATGGAATACTATCTACCTGCCTGGATGAGTGTAGATGCAACAACATTCAAGAAGCTCAACATCATCCAGAACAGTTTAGCCCATTGATTGGCATCCCACTCCCGATGATAAATACTCATTCCCTCCACCAGCAAGTCCACAGTAGAAGCATTGTGCACCATATACAAGATGCACTGCAGCATCACCAAGGTTCCTTTGACAGTGTTTTCCAAACCTCAAAGCTCTGCCATCCAGGAGAAACAAAGACGACACTCAGGAACACCATCACATGCAAGACTTCTCCAAGACACACACTATCTTGCCTTTGAACTAGATCATTGTTTGGTTACAGTGGAAGCGTCAAAAACCTGGTAATCCCTTCATAACAGCACAATGGCCTACACTTTATGGACTTCAATGGTTCAACAAGGTAGCTCACAAGAACCTCCTTGTCACGGGCCATTAGGGATAGGCAATAACAAATAATAGCAGCACTCGCATTCCAGGAATGAATAACAAAAAGTATCAGGAATACAAGAGAAATAACAGTTAAAATCTACTGAAATACAAATGTTACATAAGTATAAA